CCCCGGGCCCGATAACGGGTCCCAGGCCGAACTCGAGGAAAGGCGCAGGGATTGAAAACATCTCAGGAGGGGAAAAAACACAGAGACACAATTAATCGGCGATTCCCAGAAAATATGGGAAAATATGGGAAGTGGGGGGGAAGACAGAAACCCAGAAAATATTGGAAAATATAGGGGATATTTTTATTTGTGTGCATTTATTTGCGTGTTCCAGTTCCCCTTCAACATCGCATCGTCGGAGACATCTTGGGGCCCAGGCCCTGCCGGATCAGGAGAGCGCTGTCTTCTCCTGCGAGCCGGACGTCGCGGTTTCGCTGTTCTTCGAGATGAACATAAAAAACCTCCTCGAGCAGGGGGAGACATCCTGCAGGCGTGGGCAGGGGCCTGCTCCCGTCGAGGTGGTGCTGGTCGGCGCTCCGGTCGTTCGCCGAAGCTGCGACAGGAACCTGGTGCAGGTGATGGACTACATGAAGGATGCCGAGCACAGAAAAAACGTGTTGCGCACTTGCATCAGGAACGAGATATCCGACGACGTGGCGTTTGTCAATCCTGGCGATGTTCCTCGATGTTTGGCCTGCGGGGCCAGTTGTCCGGATTCGGGACCATCCAAAACAAATCTTGGACGAAAGAATGCCACAGAGGAAGTGACCTATCGGGCCACACATTGAAAACATCACACCGTGGGATGTCTGGGAAAACGGAACGGCATCATGAACACATTTTTCGCAGGTCCGCGACGATTGCTTCGATCGGCGCGGGGCCCCCCCTCCCTTGCGCGCGTAACGCGCCAGAGGCGGCGCCGGAAGCGCCGCCAGAGGGGGTCCAGCACCAAACCAGGAAGTCCGCGCGTGCGTCTGGGATCTGCTGCTTCTGTTGTGGTTCTTCTGAGGATGAGCTGGATGATTTCTTGCGGACAACGATGCAGGTTGTGCCCGCGTTCCCTCCCCCGGGCCGCGACCGTTTCGCAGATTCGGCGATATTCCCCCTCTTCCATTACTCGCCGCCGTCGTTGGAGACGGGCCTGGGCGTCTACGATTGGGAGGGCTATGAGATCGTCAACGCTGCTTACCGCGACGCAGTGCTGAAGGAGCACATGCGTGGTGATCTTGTCTGGATCAACGACTACCCATTGATGTTGTTGCCCAAGATGCTTCGCACGCAAAGGCCAGACATAGCAATCGGTTTTTACATGCATTGTGTCTTTCCTAGCAGTGAGTTGTACAGGATCCTTCCCCAGCGCGAAGAACTGCTCCGGGGCATCTTGAGCTCCAACATAATTGGCTTCCACAACTTTCAATATGTGCGGCGCTTCCTGACCAGCTGCACCCGCGTATTGGGCCTCGAGTGTTCGGCAAACTCGATCGAAGCGTGTGAGGACGCTGGGGGGACGTGCACCAAGGTTTTGTCAGTGCCCCTCGGCATACACATCCAGCCATTCCAGGCAGTTTTGAATCAGAAGGAGACGATCTTGAGAGTCCAGCAGATAAAGGACAGTTTCAAGGGCCTGCAGATTCTGGCGGCCGTAGATCGGCTGGAGGAGAAGAAGGGCATTCCACACAAGATCATGGCGTTCCACAAGTTCCTGCAGAGGGATCCCGCGTGGGCGCACGCGTGCGTCTTCGTGCAGATCGTGGTGCTCCGGGAGGAGGCAAGCGAGGACGAGTCTGGGGAGCTGTCGGACGAGAAACAGGGCCTGCTCCAGCAGGTCTACCAGATGGCAGGCGAGGTGAACTCCAAGTTCGGCTCTATCGGTCATCTGCCCTTCCACTTCCTCTACCAGTCGTTCAAGAAGGTCGATGTGGCCGCGCTGCTCAGCGTGGCCGACGTGTTCGTGGACACTCCGCTGCGTGACACCCTGTCGCAGCCAGCGCATGAGTACTTGTATTGCCAGCAGGAAAAGGACTGTGGCGTGCTGATCATGTCGGAATTCTCGGGGAGCGCCCAGTCCTTGCGCGCCGCGGCGATCTCCGTGAACCCGTGGGATACCGTGGGCTTCGCCGACGCCTTCCAGGAGGCGCTGGAGATGGACGAGGAGAACCGCCAGGAGCTTCACCGCTACGGCTACAAGTACGTGACAGAGTACACCCTGAGCCATTGGGCGATGAACTTCCTGGAAGAGCTGCAGACCGCGGAGCACGAGACGGAGAGCGAGAGGCTGCAGATTCCTCCGCCGCTGGACCACGATTTGCCGGTCACTGCATGGCGCAAGGCGAAGCGCCGCCTCGTCGTGTTGGGCTTCAACGGCACACTGTTGCCGAGGGGGTCCAATACGCACGCAAAGATCCTCCCGAAGTTGCCGTCGGTCCTGCGCGGGAACTTGCAGGTCATCGCGCAGGATCCGCACACGGAGGTGATTGTGGTCAGTGGCTATTCCAGGAGCACCCTGGCACAGGCTCTGTCCGGTGTGCCTTGCTGGATCATCGCCGAGGGCGGCGTCTGCCACCGGAAGCCGGGAGAGGATGAGTTCGTGAGCGCGCTGGATGAGACCGACCTGGAGTGGCGCGGTCCTGTGAGGGAGATCATGGAGTACTTCGCAGCCCGCACGCCGGGCTCGAACGTTGTGGAGACGAGTTCGTCGGTGTCCTGGCACTACCAGAAGACCCTCGGCGACCACGCCGCGCTTCAATCCAAGGACCTGCTCATTCACCTGTGGGCCGGGCCCTTGCTCTCTGCCCCAGCCGAGGTTGTCATGGGGAATGAATCTGTGAGCGTCAGGCCGACAGGCGTGACGAAGGCACCCCAGCTCGAGTCGATCATCCAGCAGATCTGCTTTCAGGCGACGGAAGACGGCGCGACGCGGATGAAGGAAGAGTGGAGCAGCGCCATCAGAATAACAGAAAAGTGTGTAATCCAACATTTTCGCTGTCTGCGCGCATTCTTAGGTTGGGCGCTGGAATCCACCCCCCACGGCGCCTATGGCGCTGCCCCCAGCGCGCTCCGCGCTCCAGGGGAGGGGGATCCAGCGCCGACCCAACAAACCTGCTCGGACCTCCCAAAGTGTTGGTTATGCATCTGCTGGTTGTTCTAACCATGGTGCTCTGCGTGACGAGTCTCATCACTCGGGACGAGGAGGTCTTCGCCTACCTGCACAAGGCGTTCGAGAAGGCACAAGAGACCCCCGACGACGTGAATCGTAGCACCGAGGCTCTGGGCTACCCCGATTTTGACCCTGCCCTTCCTCCTCAGTCGTCTAACGCCAGACGGAGGTGCAGTTCCCGTTTGCGGCACTTGGGGGGCCGACCTTCGGGGGCGTTGAAGAGGGTTGTGAGGATTTGGGTGGGTTGGAAGCCGGTGCCAGGACTACGAAATCTCCTAGATTTCTGAGCCCGCTCTTCTTCTTCTTCTTCTTCTTCTGAGTACCATTAATATCATTATTGTCATTCCGATTATTATTCGTGTTCGTATTATTATTAATGATCTTAGTTAGTATGAAGCTTGATGCCTCAGTCATACTGGTACCAATAGTATGATGTTGTTGATGATGATGGTGGTGATGCTGATAGTGATGTTGTTGCTGATGCTGTTGATGATGATGCTTATGATGATGGTGATGATGATGATGCTGATGCTGATGATGATGATGATGCTGATGATGATGATGGTTATGGTGTTGGTGTTTGTAATGGTGAGAATGAGGATGATGATGGTGATGATGATGGTGATGATGATGACGATTTGCTGCTGCTGATGAAGATAATAGTTATGAAGATCAATCGTATTGAATCGCTTCGTTCATTCCGCCGTCCCATATTGTATCAATAATGCTATCGGAGGCTGGGGGGTGTGAGCGGAAGTGGCCCCAACCGGGAAATCGCTTTCGGTTCCAATTCGTGTCGTGAGGGCGGGCGAAGCGAAATGTGCGAGTTCTTGCACTGGTAGAGGCCGCATGGAGTCCACAGGGCCCCCCCCCGGGGGCCGGCGCGTGTCCCGTGGTTGTTCCGCGGTTGTACCGTGGTTGTCCCGTGGTTGTCCCGTGGTTGTACCGTGGTTGTCCCGATGGTTGTCCCGCGGTGATCACGTGGTTGTGCCGATGGTTGGCCCGATGGTTGTCCCCATGGTTGTCCCCATGGTTGTCCCCGCCGTTGTCCCTTAGTTGTCCCGATGGTTGACACGATGGATGGTGGTTGTCCTGATGGTCGTCCCGATCGTTGTCCCGATGGTTGAGTCGATGGTTGTCCTGATGGTTGTCCCGATGGGCGTTCGGGTGGATGTCCCGAAAGTTGTCCAAGATAAATGGATACACGGACACAAGTAGCACCACCACCACCACCATCATTCCGAATACATTTGTACTCAAGCCGCTTCTCCGTGCAGAGGGCTGCCAGCATCGACGCCGCAACAGCATGTCGCCGTGGAGTGGGCCGCGCCAACTCACGGTGCCAGGCCCTGCCAGCGCCAGGCCATACTCTGGCTCGCGCCTGGTGAAGCAGCGCTACTCGTACAGCGTGATCTCCCGCGCTGGGTTCTCAGAGCTCTGGCTCGCCCGCGCGATGGCGGGCGAGCTGCTGTTCCAAGCTCTCAAGAAAGTTGCGGGCGCGAGGCACGTCGATTGGAACGCGCTGGGGACCTCGCAGGGCGACGCCGGCAAGCGCGAGCAGGAGAGCAACTGCCTGGTCGACTCAATGCCCGGCGACCCGATCAGATTTTTCGGGTTCGAGGCGGCTCGAAACCAGCACTCGAAGGACAGGAGCTTGCCTCACACAGTGACGGCGACGTTGAAGGACCCGCCGCAGGACATGGATGCGGAGGCATGGCTGATTTTACGTGCTGCTGGAAAAGGCGAAGAGCTGCGGCCAGAGGTCGTGCGCCAGTGCGCGATGGGCAGCCCGGCGCGGCTTGGCGGCGCGCCAGGCTCTGCCATCGCATTTGCCTCACAGGGCGCGGCGGCTGACGCGGACGCTGCGCAGGGTGCCCACACCGCGCCGCAGGGGCCTGCAGAAGAGGGCGCGGGCGCGCGCGGCTCTGCTAGCATGCCGGCGGCACTTGGGGCGGCCGCTCCAAGCTTCGCCAACGCAGGCCAGGGCGCCAGAACAGCGCCGCCCCCGCGCCCGCTGCATCCGCGGACGGTCGCGCCGCCGCTGGTTTTGCAGTCTACGCTGTGCCCGCCATTCTTCGCCGCGGGGGCAGCGGCGCCGTCGGCTCCGTCGGCTCCATCGGCTGCGGCTTCGGCTCCGTCTGCACCAGGGGCATGCAACTCCGCGGAGGGTCGCGCGCATTTGCTCGCCGGCCTGGGGAAGAAGCGCTCGGGCGAGCTCGTCGAGCTGGATCGCCGGCGCCCGGGCTTGAAGCTGCGCGCTGCGACGCCAGGCTCTGCCGGCGCCGCACCCCCTCAGAGAAGCGAGCAGTGGCTCCGCCGCGACGGCGGCGCGCCCGCGGGAAAAGTGGACCCCGCATTCGGCCGTCGCTGCAACGTTCGCGAGGTCGCACCCCAGATGGACGAGCGGGCCCCGGGCGCGGCGTTCGGCGTTCGTGCCGAAGATCTCTGGCCGAACTGGCGCGCTCAGGTCACTCGCGCGCGCGCCCAATGCCGCGGGGCCGCGGCCTTCGGGCGGCGCCTCGCCGAGGCGGCGGCCACCCCGGGGGGGCTTACGCGGGCCCTTGGAAAGCGCTTCACTGGCAGGCGAGTGCATTGCTTGCACCGCGAACTCCGGAACGTGGACCTGGAGCGGGCCAAGGCCTCCAGGTTACCAGGCTCTGGCAGCGGCGCCGGCGGCACGGCCGGGGGCGGGCCCCAGGCGACGCACTTGCGGGCGCACCTCGGTAATGGAGATCAGCTCATGGAGGAGCACGCGGCCGCTATTGGCGCTGAGGTGGAAAACGCGCCGGCTTTCTTGTCTGAGGCCGTTCGCTGCGCCCATGCCCAAGTTCTGCGGGGCGCGCGCCCGCCGCGGCTGGAGCGCTCTTCCCCCCCGGGCCCTGCCGGGGGAAGTCGCGTCGTCGATGCGCGCGAGGCCGCGATTCTCGACGCGGGGCGCCGATCTCGCGAGCACAGTGTTCGGCCCACTAGTTATTGGCGAGCTCGTTCGCATCGCGGAGAGCGTTGGCCCTCTGTTCAGTGGCGTCGTCGCGCGGCCATTGCACGCGCGCGCGGCCGCTGCCCTGGGGCGCGCGCGCATGGCCGCGGCCCCCATGTCACGCGCCCCAGGGAAAGGCGGGGCGCCAGGGGCACGCGCGCCGCGAGAGCGCAGAGCGGAGCTGCGGGGCCCCAGTCTGACAGCGCGCCTTTGCGGGCGCTGCGGCTGCGCTGTCTCGCCGCGGGGGGGGGGGGGGGACTTTCTCATGCGTGCGAAGCCCTCGCGCGCGGTCGCGCGCGCGCCGCTGGACGCGCGGGGCCGGGGCGCCCCCGAGGGCGGGCGGCTTTCGGCAGCGCTGGGAAGCGGCCCGGACTGGCAGGAGCCTCGGGGCGGAAGCCACTGGCGGTGCGACAAAACCGACGGCGACCAGACGCGGCGCCATTCAGCGCCTTTCCGCGGCACGCTCGGGAACGAGCCGCAGTGGCAATAGGGTTGCGCCAGGCCCTGGCGACGACGACGGGGATGATGATGATGATGATGATGATGATGATGATGATGATGATGATGATGATGATGATGATGATGATGATGATGATGATGATGATGATGATGATGATGCTGGGACTGCTGGCGGTGATGGGGACGGTGGTGACTGTGGCCATGGCGATGGTGGGCGCGACGACGACGATGGCGACGATGCCGTCGGCCGCCCGCTTTGTGGCACCAAGCTGCGCTGGTGTTCCGAACACATGTCGGGCTGCAGTAGGGTTGTTGTTCTCGAACGCGCAGCCGCTAGAGCACGCGCCACTAAGTTAAGCTGGCATCGCACCGCGGTGCATCAGCATGCACAAAAATAGCCATCATGTCACATGTCCACCACCATTCCACCACCCTGCCAGCACCACCACCACTACCGCCATCACTACCAACCCGTTTCACCAACATTATCCATTCGATATTTATATATATATAGAGAGAGGTGTTTAGCGATATAAATAAGTAGAAAGACTGATGTACACATATCTATATATATACACACACGAGTGGATGGGCCGCTGGATCGATCGGCACGCGCGCGCAGCCAAGCGGCAGCGAAAAACAAACACAAAAAAACAAGCACGGGCGAGCAAAGAGTTGCCACGTATTTTGCTTTGCAAAAGGCAGACAAATATCACCCTCTTCCACTTGCTGCTACACAGTACGGGACAGGCATATAACAATCACTTGCTACCGCCACCTGCGCAACAGCGCGGGCAGAAATAAAGACATGCGACATACGGCACCCGCCGGCACCAACTAGTGCGCAAACAAATATATGCCACGACCTTGTGCCAACGATCCCGACGGTAGGTGGATAGATCCATAGATCGGTGATTTGCTTGGGAGGTCGACTCGATAGATAGATAGATCGGCTGATATACGTATAGATTCACATATACCGCTATATATACACATACATATATACATAGGCTCGGCTGGTAGAAGCAAGTGGGAATATGTGGTCTGTAGTATTTGTCGTGCGCTCTTTGTTGGCGGTAGGCCGGACTCATTGCAAATCGACCGCCTTATCACCCGAAGGGTGGTCCTATCGGTATGTTGGCGCGCTCGTGGTGGGCGAGGGGGAGCAGGGGGAGGAGGAGGAGGAGGAGGAGGAGGAGGAGGAGGAGGAGGAGGAGGAGGAGGAGGACAAGGGGAGGATGAGGATGGGGAGGGGGGCTCTCGATGGCCTCTTGCGGCATTTTGGGGTCTCTTGGGAAGGCTGTCGGGGGCATATGTGTGGCATGTCTGGGGCATCCTGGTGCGTCACGGCAGCGTCTTGGGTTTTCTTTGTTCCGGGGCCTCTCGGGTCGTCTCGGCGGAGGTTTCTTGGGGGCTTCTTGGGGGCCGTACGTTCTTAGTTCCTAATCCTGCTGTTCCTTCCTTCTCTCTCTTGCTGTCCTGTGCCTTCGCCCCTCCCCGTTTCCACCCGTTCCTATTCCTCGCGCCGCATGTCAGCGGCTGGGTTCCGTGGAGCCCTTTGGGCGCCTCTTCGGGAGCTCTTGGAGGCCTGTGGGGGATCTCCTGGGAGAATCTGGCTCGAAATGCCCAGAGTTTTCGGGAGTTTCTTGGGAGCTTCTGGGGGCCTCTTGGGAGGCTGTCCGAGGCGGTCTTGGAGGATTCGTGGGCCTTTGGGGACCGTTCTGCGGCCCTCTTGGGTTGATGTGAGGCCCTCTTGAAGGTTTCTTGGGCTGTCGAGGACCGATTTTGGAAGCTGGGCTCGAGATGTCCGTTCGGGTACCCTGTCTGGGTTCCCTTTGGGGGCAGTCCCAGGGACCATCTCAGGCAGTTTTGGAGGCCTGTTGGGCCGTCGTGGGGCCATCGTGGGCCGTTTTTGGATGCTCGAGCCCGTGTCCTCGCTCCACCCCGAACCGTGTGTCAGATCAGGACGGCCGCGAGGTCAGTCCACCTATCGCACACGGTAGCCACGAGGCATGGCATTGTTTGGTGGTGGAAGCGTGTTGACTTCGGGAGCGTGGTCCGCGGAGGGGGGGCTCATGATGTTGGCAGACGCTTGCAATGATAAGATCACGCCCTCAGGACGTCACTGTTTGTCGCATCTGGCGCGACGGCAAGCCCCCTCAGGCTGGGCCGCCCTGGCTTATTCCCCCTCGGTCTGAAACTCTGGGGGTGCAGGGGGCTCGACCGTCAAGAGAATCCATTCCTGGAGACGACCCGTAAGTAACGTTATTGAGGGCCATCCGTCATTCGAATCAGTTTGCCCAGGTGTGCCTACGGTGCTATCCTTGGGACCTGCTGCAATCCTCGCTGTGATCCGTCTCCTCCCCACTCCCTTCCTCCTCCTCCGCCTCCTCCTCCTCCTCCTCCTCCTCCTCCTCCTCCTCCTCCTCCTCCTCCTCCTCCTCCTCCTCACCCTCCCCCTCCTTCCGAGCTCCCCGAGGACGCTCTCGGAACTGCGCTGTGCAGAAGTTCCAAGAGGGCCCCACGACGGTCCCAGGAGGCCCCAAGGCTGCCCCAGGAAATCTTCAGCAGCACCAGGAGGCCCCAAGAGGCCGCCAGAGTGCCCACAAGGGGTTTCCAAAAGGATAAAAAGCAGGGAATACCAATCAGGATACCAACGTTATGTTTGCTCTTTTCTGGCGTTCCCGTTTGTTGCGAAAGTGCGGCTCCAAGATGGCCTCATAGGCCCAAACGGTCCCGAAGAGAGTTGCACCACTGCTCAAGGATGGCCCAGGAGTGCCGCGAATTCCACGCCCCAGTGCGTCTTCACACACCAACGCGCTGGTTTCCAAGCAAAGGGCCCGACCATCCAGACACGGCCCCTCTGACGCGCTATACGCTCGGCCTCATGGCAAATAGAACTCCAGCGCGCGCGAAGCGCGCCCGAAGTTTCTAGTTAATGTCATGTCATGTGTATGGCGATTATTTGTGTCAAGTCTTATTATTACTCGTATTCGTATTGATTTGTTTGTTTTGTTTCAGCACGTCCCCTGCCTCCCCCCCTCGTCCGCTCATTCGCCTCGGGCCATGATGCATTAAGCCTCCCTGTTCATGGCACCCTTCTCTGGCGCACCCGAGCCCCCTTCGGGTCGTCGCGACACGGTTCGGGATGCAACGTCGGTGTTCGCACAGGTGGAAACAGCAGGCGTCCATCTGCTCGCCATTGGGCTCGACGGCGCCCCCGTGAGAGCTCAGGCGGCCCTCGTGCCGCCGGCGATGCGAGGCAGCGGTGGCCCCTGCAGGGCAGGGGCCGAGAGATCCCGCGGCCCGTGCCCTCGAGCAGAGAATGGGCCCCGACGTCGGATCGCCTGCTCCCCCTCCTCCCCCTCCTCCTCCTCCTCCTCCTCCTCCTCCTCCTCCTCCTCCTCCTCCTCCTCCTCCCTCCTCCTCCTCCTCCCCCTCCTCCTGCTCCTCCTCCCCCCTCCTCCTCCTCCTCCTCCTCCTCCTCCTCCGCCTCCTCCTCCTTCTCCTCCTCCTCCTCCTCCTCCCCCTCCTCCTCCTCCTCCTCCTCCCTCCCTCCTCCCCCTCCTCCTCCCCCTCCTCCCCCTCCTCCTCCTCCTCCTCCTCCCCCTCCTCCTCGGCCCCCCCCCCCGCGAGGCGGAGCTGGAGGAGGTCCGGCGCGTGGGGAGCTGGGCATCGCCAGCGTGGTGGTCTCCAAAACCAGGTGGTGAGACACCCAGTGGTGACCCCGATGCCCCCAAGCAATGATTCTGGGTCGCCGCCCGGGTTTGGGGGCACGCGGTCGCCACGGGGTTTTGCGTTTCCTGGGCCAGCCAGCGCTCGAAAAGCATGACCCAAATCGCCCAAAACTCACCACCGGGTGTTCTCACCCCAGATGGTCTGGTACCGGAAATTTTCGGTAGCGATTTCGGCGCACCCCGAATTTCGGTAGCGACCGGATCTTCGTTTGAGGGCGTTGAAATAGCGGATTTCAGAACACTCTGATACCGGTATTGGGCGCTACATTTCGGTATTTCGGTAGCGACCGATCTCTGCGGAGCGCTACCGGAAATTTTCGGTAGCGGACCATCAGGGACCACCACGTTTGGGGACCACCAGCCAGCGCAGCCCTCCGCCGAAGAGGCGCATCTGGAGGCCAACAGCAAGACGATGAGCCAGGCTCGACGGAGAGAGCCGACAGCGCGTCGGCGGCGAGGTCCACACCCCACCCTTCGCAGGTCCACGGCCCAGGCCAGTCGATGTGCGGCGGGGGTAGGGTTCGGGATTCGTCGAACACGTAGCGACACCCGAATCCCTACCCCAGATTTCGGAACAAAAGGGAGGGGTCTGGACCCTCCAGGACAAGCCATTTCAGACCCCCCCTCGTGGGAGAACCCTCCAAAACATCGTCCCCAGACCCCCCCAGGCCCTCCAAGATAGCTTGGGAGAGACCCCCCCCCCGAAATGAGACCCCCCTTCCTGTATTACGAAATCTGGAATACACACAAATAAAAGGATTCCCCATATTTCCCCATGCTTTCCCATGTTTTCTGGGTTTTTGTCTTCCCCCCCACTTCCCATATTTTCCCATATTTTCCTGGGGGTCGACGATTCAGTGTGTCTGCGTGTTTTCTCCCTCCTGAAGGATGGCGACAAGGAGAGACTCACCCACGGGATGGCGACAAGGATCGGCGAGAGTGCCCCGTGCCTCCCATCGATTCCGCAGAGCCGATGGTCGGTGGGGGTCGGGTGTGGATGTCGCCGCCGCAGGAAAAGTGTGGTCGGGTGGTGCCAGGGGTGGCCCTGCTTGGCCCAGGTCTTGCCAGAGGTGGTCGAAGTGTTGACAGAGGGGGAGGAGGGAGGACGAGATAGAGGAGGAGGCGGAGGAGGAGGAGGAGGATGAGGAGGGGGATGCGGAAGAGGAGGAGGAGGAGGAGGAGGAGGAGGAGGAGGAGAAGGAGAAGGAGGAGGTGCAGGAGGAGGAGGAGGAGGAGGACGAGGATGGTCTGCAGGGCTCTCCTCCTGGGGACCAGGCGTTCCAAAAGGGTGCGAGGAGTTGGGGGAACCTTGGGCCTAAGCTCACCTCTGGCATCCTCTAAGTTCGGATGTTCGCGCAGATTTCTTCGGTTGACGCTGGGCCCTCGTTCCCCTTTGCGCGCGGAGCGCGCCGGAGGCGGCGCTGGAGGCGCCGCCAGGGGGTTTCAGCGCCGACCCGAGAGCTCCACGCGGACATCAGAAAGTTTGTGTCTGCAAGCAGTTTTTTGTCCCCAAGGTGCACGGCAGCTTGAACATGCTCGCCACCGGCACCACCAGCCTCGCGGAGCTCGAGCCCGACCTCCTCCCCGGGCCGTTTGGGCTGCACGGCGCCGCCTCCATCAGGCAGAGGACCGAGCCGAGCCGGCAGAGGACCGAGTCCGAGCCAGACTCGCACGCCTACCAGGGCGGCGTCGAGGACCGGCAAGGCTTCCGGGCTTGCGCACAGGTAGCCCCGACTTCACCGAGCGCGCTCCACTGCCCGCAAAGTGCCTGCTCGAAAGCGCTCGAACACACACACGTGTTCGCCTCTGGACCCCCGCGGCGGACCCAGGCCATCTGCGAGTAGCCCCTCTGCGCGTCGTGGAGCGCGCTCGTCTGCGCCTGGCCGCGGCAGGCCCCCCTGGCAGCCCGGGGGCGGCCCCGGCACTCCTCCTCCTCCTCCTCTCCTCCTCCTCCTCCTCCTCCTCCTCCTCCTCCTCCTCCTCCTCCTCCTCCTCCTCCTCCTCCTCCTCCTCCTCCTGGTCAAGCGGCCTGACCAGCGCCGGCCGCAGTTTGGCGTCGCCTGGTATCTCTCACCACCCACCAAACCACCCCAACCCAACCCGAAGGTCTCGATTTGCCCTCCATTTCCAGTTGGGGAGCGTCGGGGATCATCGAGAAAACACAAACGGAACCCGTACCCCCCCCAACCCGAAATTCGGGTCTTCGGGTTGGGTTGGGGTGGTCTGGTAGGTAGTCAATCTCTTGGAAGCGAGGGTGGTCAAGAGCGAGGTAGGTCTGTCTGCGCCCTCGCCGGGGCGGAGCCGCCCCGCTCCGCCCAGAGCTCGGGGCCGCGGGGTGCCCAGGCTGCCCCAGGGCAGCCCCGGGGCAGCCTGCGGGGGCCGCCGCGCGGCGGGCGGCCCCGCGCAGCGGAGGAGGGGCGCTGAGCTGTGCACGTCGGCTGGCCGGCTGCAGTGTCGGGCCGAGGAGGAGGACGAGGAGGAGGAGGAGGAGGAGGAGGAGGAGGAGGAGGAGGAGGAGGAGGAGGAGGAGGGGGAGGGGGAGGTGGTGGAGTGGGGGCCCTTGTGAGGAGGAGGAGGAGGAGGAGGAGGAGGAGGAGGAGGAGGAGGGGGAGGGGGCGCTGAGCTGTGCACGTCGGCGGGCCGGCTGCAGCGTCGGGCCGGACGAAAGGGGGGGACTGGGACAGGGGGGGATACTAAAACGACGCGAAGATCGGGACAAAATCGGATCGGGATAACTCGAAATCTCTGAGAAGCGGCGGGTCTGGAGGATGTATTGGGCGCCGCGGTCGCTCCAGAGCGTTCCGGAACGCTCTGAGAGCGCTCCGGAACGCTCTGGAGCGATTTATCCCGATCCTAGCCCTGTTTTAGGATACGAAATTTGCTCCATGCAGCTGGTTTCGGCCTCACCGAGGGGCCCATTCCTCGATACAGAGAGCCTCTGGCGCCGGCAGGCGCCAGGGGTTATCAGCTACGTGAGCTGGTTCTCAAGCCCCCCCTTTGCTATCCCCCCCTTTCGCCCGACCCGACAGGGGAAGCCCACGCCATGTAACACCTTGCTTGCCTCCAGGGTGCCCTTGGTTTCTTGGGCTTCGACGGTTTTGCCAGGGACAGCAGGACGTCCCCACGCCAAAGATCCATGGGCGTCCTGAGGATTCAGGGTTGGGTTTCTTGTGGAAGGCGTCTTGTGGTCAAGCTCCTACTGTACAGAGCTCCCCACCTTTTCATATAGTATACATATATGTTTGTCGAAGATGGAAGATGGATACTTCGGGGTTGAAGGTCCGCGCAGACTTTGGAAGCTTCTGTCTGTGTCGGTGCTTGTTTTCCCTGGAGCGACGAGATGTGTACATCTCCATCGCTCTTGGCCGGGTCCGTGTTGGGCCAGGGATCTATGTAGCTGCATCCCTGGTTAAGCTAGGAGGGAGTATTTACCGCTCCTGGACCCAGGATGGGCCTGGCCAGGAGCAGAGGGTATGCATAGATCTCGCTGCCCCATTCTCGTAGCCTGGGCCATTCAGTACACCGACTCCGTGGGGAACGTAGGATGCTGATTCAGGAATTCCCTGGAGGGCCCGTTACGCCGCTTCGCCTTGGGCGAATCATGAATGCGTTGGGCCCCAGGCCTGCTCGTGGGCGTCTTCGTCGTCATCAAGACTGTTGGGTCCTTCCCTCCAGAATCTTCCCCATCGGCAGGCACGAGCCGATCCTTGTCGCCATCCCGTGGGTGAGTCTCTCCTTGTCGCCATCCTTCAGGAGGGAGAAAACACGCAGACACACTGAATCGTCGACCCCCAGGAAAATATGGGAAAATATGGGAAGTGGGGGGGAAGACAAAAACCCAGAAAACATGGGAAAGCATGGGGAAATATGGGGAATCCTTTTCTTTGTGTGTATTCCAGATTTCGTAATAAAGGGAGGGGGGTCTCATTTCGGGGGGGGTCTCTTCCAAGCTATCTTGGAGGGCCTGGGGGGGTCCGGGGACGATGTTTTGGAGGGTTCTCCCGCGAGGGGGGGTCTGAAATGGCTTGTCTTGGAGGGTCCAGACCCCCTCCCTTTTATTACGACATCTGGAGTACCCTGTGGGATCCTGCTCTGGCTCGTTCTCAGGGGGGCCTTTTTCGGGCGGGCCCTCCCTCCTCCTCAGCAGCAGCAGTATCATCATCATGCTCATCCTGATCCTCCTCCTCCTCCTCCTCCTCCTCCTCCTCCTCCTCCTCCTCCTCCTCCTCCTCCTTTCTTACGAAATCTGGAGTATTCCTTTGTTTGTCCCGGGGCCCCGTCAGTCCTGCACCGCACCGAGCCCCTCCCGGCGCGCCGCCCCGAGCCCTGCCCATCGGAGGACGGCCTCCTCGGCGACCACGCGCAGGAGCCTCCGCGGGCCGCGCTCGCCGGCGACGGCATCGGCGAGGGCCCGCGGCTCTACACGTGCACCATCCATCGCAAGGCGTGCGTCGGGCGCGTCCCCCCACAAGGGGGATTCTGGGCGAAAAGTGAAAAATATTCAAACAATGCACCCAAATGGTCAAAAAAAACATCAAAAAAGAATCCCCGGATTGTTTTTGGATTATGTTTGGTGCATTTTTTATTCTTCATCGAACATCCCCCTGTAGGGGGGCACCATCCATCGCAAGGCTTCAGTCTGGCGTGTCCCCCCACAGGGGGATTCTGGGCGAAGGATGAAAAAGACGCAAAGAAATACCCCCAAATGGTCGAAACAGAATCAAAAGATAGTCCCCGGACTATTGTTGGACTATTTTTGGATTCTTTTTGGGGTCTCTTTTTTATCTTCATCGAAAATCCCCCTGTAGGGGAACACGCCCGATTTAACGCAAGGCCACGAGGGCGATGTACCATCTCAGCTCGAAGACGAAACGCCTGCATGGACAGAACCTTTCGAAGGTGCGTGCGGATTTTTGTTGACTGGCGCTGGGCCCCCCCTGGCGGCGCCGTCGGCGCCGCCGCTGGCTCGCTCCGCGCGCCAAGGATAGGGGAGCGTCCAGCGCCGATCCAAGAAATCCGCGCGGAGTTGCGAAAGTGCATGTTTGTGCCAGTTTTTCATGTTCTGCCAGCGACACCAACGACCTCGCGTTCCTGATGGCGAAGATTGCCCGCGAGGTCCGGCAGTCCAAGGAGGCGACCGAGAGCGAGCGCCAGGCATCGGGCGAGGCGAGCGTCTGAGTTGTTTGTCTGATTTACTTGGCGTCGGGAGGGAGAAGAGGAGGCTGATGAAGATTTACCTCGACAAGCCGACTGCGAGGGCAAGCGAACCTGGAGGTGCGTTCAGTGAAGGGCGTCGACTGCATGCGGCCGAAGCCGTCGGCGATGCAGAAGGCGTCTTAGAGAATCGGGGCGGCACAGGACCGAGAAATAAAACATGCATGTTCGTAGCATCAGCGCTAGCACGTAGGACGACAACCAGCATGAGGAATGATACCAACTTGTTATCACTCAGAAAGCATTATTTTCATATGATATGATGATCTCTTATTTGGGCCCGACACCAGGTCACAATCGGTGGTTCCACCCGTGGAGGAAGCTCGCTTTTCATGGCCCCCATTGCGCAGTTGATTTGATGCATTGGCGCCTCTGGCGCCTCGAGGCGCCAAGGAAACCAGCTACGGGAGCAGTCTCGCCACCCCTGGGGGGCCCCTCTTCTGTTATCTTCCGACCTGGTTCAGGGAGCTCGTTCGAGGAAACCTCAGCCCCACTCGCGCCCCCCTCACCCCCCCCCCGAAGCAGCCGCCATTGAGCGGGTGGTTCTTGCTCCTCCCCCCCTCTTTCCCTGCGCCACCAAGCGGGTAGGTCCGCTCCGCGTTGGCTTGCGGCGATCCCATCGCAAGTATTCAAGGTTGGGCGCCGCCAGCGGCCCAGAGTCGACCGATACCCAACGATCTGCAGAATCGTGAGCAGAATCGCTAGACATTAAACAGTCCACGCGGTGTGAGAAGCCGTCGCGCAAGTCGTCACGACAGGAAGCAGCAGTATCGTCTCTTCCTTCCATGTGGTCTGGCATGCTTGACAGTAATTGTGCGTGGTGATTGCTGGTCTTGCAACCTCCCACAATCCTCCAAAGACCTTCGGGGACCTCCAGGGACCTCCTGAATCCTCTAGACCTACAGGGGGGAGGGGGAGTGGTAAACCCTGCCCCGAAGGGGAAGAAGAGGGTTAGAAGAACGAACCCCCTGAACTGAACCACCTGCGCCCAGAGGACTCGTCGGGGTAAAGCACACTTACAAAACACCCCGTCATCCAGAATTCCAGCTGCCCGCCTGGCCTCATGTTGGGCTGGTTTGTCCCAGTCGCCTGAGCGTTGCAGCGCAACGCAGCATCAACGCGCTCTAACTCAGCCACCTCTGTTGCCGACGCTGCCTTCAGCTGGCAGTGCAGATGGAGGAGGAGCAGGAGGAGGAGGTGGAGGAGGAGCGTACCCTTCCGCTTCGAAGCGTCCTTCTCTTCCCCTTCAAAGGAAGCTTCTTTATCCTCCTCCTCCCTCCTCCTACGGTCCCAGGGCAAGGTTCGAAACAATTCCTACCCGTAGGGGGGGGGGGGCACACGCTACCGCCCACCGCAGCCTCGGCTCTGGCTCTCACCCTCTGCCTCTGGGGGGCGGGGGCAGGTCTTCCGAGCAGTCGATGCGCATTATTGTGCCTCGCCTCCTGCTGAGGAAGATTGTCGCGTGCAACTCACTAGCAGCATCAACACTCGAAAGGCTCGAGGAGATCGTCCACGATTTGAAAGATTGGGGCGTCACCCTACCCAGTGGAACACAAACGTGGGCAGGAGCCAGAGGATGTGCGACGATACACCTGCGACAAGATTGTGCAATGGGACTTGGAGGTGGGAAGGGGAATAGGGTGCTGACGCCATGCGGGATGGCATCTCTTGCATCGACTAGCCTCCCGGGGGAAACCGCTCATACCCATCCACCTACAACGACAACCATCCAGGAACGAGCGCCAGGAATTTGAATCAAGTCGAAGACAGTGACTTGTTGTTTGTGACAGCCTGCGCCGCACCCGCGAATGTGAACAGCGACCCAAGCATGGCGAATACTCTAACAACCTGGGTAGAAAACATGTGCGACAGACGGGCGAGTAGGATGACGATAGCCATCGGACGGGATATCAAACGCCAGTTTGGATTCCACAGGGCCACCGACGGGATCACCAAAAGCAGCTCGAACAATATAGTATCACAAACAGCCCCACAGCTATAAAACGGTAGGGGCTTGGCATTCACAAGATTCAGCAAAGCTCGCTCTCTTTCTATGCGACGACAGTCTGCGACACAGGCCGTACGTCCTACGACACCCAAGAGACCCAACACACAATATACCACGTTGCCATTCCAACAGCAGCCCTCCAAGTAGTCTCGAAGCGCGTGATTTCCAGGACCTGCGGCGAAGCGACTAAGACCCACACGCACCACATACCAGTTGGCCGAATACCAGTAACGACGGGCCAGTCCAGCTTCAGATGCTGGAGAAGCAGGAGTCAAGCACCTAATTGGATTGGGACACGCGGACGGAGTGTCTGAGGAAGGGCAGGAGGAGACCATAGTTGTTTGAAAAAGGGGAAAGGAGGACGAAGGAGACGGCAGAGGTGGAAGGCTTGTCTGAATGAGAGTGTACCAGATGCAGATATTACTGGGGCAGCGCTGGACGACTGCAAAGGTGCAGAGAGGGGGGAGTTGAGGGATCCCAGGGTGGAAGGCCAGGCAGACCAGGAACGCGAATCTGTGAAGATGTGAAGGACATGTTGCATGACACGACGTGCCACCTTTAGATGGTTCGAAAGGAATGAACCAGCAAGACAAGAAAAAGCGAACCTGGTCGAGGAGATTTGGATAGCTAGCAGAGAAGCGACTTCAGCACGATGCGCCTGCGAGAGTGACAATACCAACGAAGCGGAAGAGGGCCACAGACAATATATGAGTTGTCCGCAAAAGCTTGTTGGAACAAAGACACGTGGGCGGAGGAGCTGCGAAGAGAGCCAGACGAAGTATGACGAAGGACAGAAATAACCTAAGTGGAGGAATCTGAGCAGGAACGCAGGAAACAGTTCGAGGAGCACGCAGTCTTGCCTGAGGGCGCAGAGACGAGAGGTCAGGTGCAAGGAGACTAGAACTGGATGTCGAAGTGCTGCAAAAAGAGTGGCCGACGATGGGCGTGATGGAGAGTGCCGGGTTAGTTTACAATGGGTGGCGCTGCCGATTGACATTTTCCAAAACGACTTCAGTGCAGTAGGAAGATAAACGCAACGAGGGTCAGAGCAGCGAGATGGAGGGCGGACGGCTTGGACCTCGAACGTACGGCACATCATGCACTTACACAACCGGCAGACATTATGACCAACATGGGATGGGTCATCTGAACGGTGCTTGGCAGATCAGGCGCACCGCTGGACGGCCAAGAGCTGGGCGCATGCGCTGCAACTCTGCATTTCCTCGGAAGGGCAGATGGAGGCTGGGACAGGAACGGCGAAGCTTGGAGGAGGAGCGGAGGACATATACATGTCCCTGAACCATCTGGGCGACGCTGCGCTGATGCTCAGAAGGGCGCGGACGTCTCCGCTTGCGCGGCACGCATCACATTCTTTAGGTTCGGATGCGGACAACGAGACGGAGGGATCGGAAGGGAGAGAGTCAGTGATGGCACGGCACCTGGGCTTCCACAGGAGAGGGCATCAACTAGGCCATCCCAGCTGGCGCGCAGAAGTTAAGAAAACGCCGCACTTCGCAGACTGGCAGGCAAGCGGTAGCCACAACGACGCGCGCGCGGTCTGCAGAATCTGCAATACCTACGACTGTACAGGAGCGCTTGCGAGCGCGAAGAGAGGGCTGCCCAATGCGGCGACTTGGAGGTGCGCTGCGCTAGACGACCCGCCCTGAGCGCGCTGGTGAACATTGTCACTAGTGAGTTGTGCGCCGACGTCTGGTTGCACGAGGCCGCGCCGAGCCCTGATGGGAAGCGCGCTGCGCCCCGAACAATTTAAAGACGCGTATAACTTATGCGTTGCGTAAAGGGCAGATACGCTACACTTTGGCTACAGATCGGAACGAACATTCGAGCCGCGCCAAAATTGAAGCGGCAGGGCCCCCCCTGACCGCAGAGGCGAAAGATCTAGAAATTCATGCGCGCGTGGGCGACATTACCAGAACGCGCATCATTCAAGGAAAGACACTTGTGATTGAAATCACGAATACTCAACGCACCAACTGCGATCATGGATGACATTATCGCTGGGGGGGGCTGGAAATTGAACCCGACGCAGACCAACCGCCTCTTCGGTGCGAAGGGACCCGCCGGCCAAAGCATCGCGAGACGACCAAGGAAGGATCAAGCAGTTGAGCGGGAACAGGCCAGGGGCAACGGTGGCCCCAGGGCCTGGCCCGCCCGCGGGCCAGGAGAGATCGCGCGAAGATATCCTTCGCTGAACGCGGCCCGAGGGCAACGCGGCGCCTCCTGGAGCTCGGACGCAGCAAACGCGGCAAAGCTGTCGGCGTGCCTTGCGTGTGCGATAGGCTCAGCGGAGCGCGAGATGGCCGCTTTCTCGGGGGCCCGGGGAGATTTGCAGGGGGGGGGGGTTGGGATGGGGGGTGGCGGACCCGTTCGAGGAAAGGAGGGCCGGGGGAGCAGCGGCGGCCTCTCGAGAGCAGGCGCAAGGTTGACTAGCGACGGCAACGCCGACCCCGCCCACCCCGTCGCGGGGACTCTGGCGAGGGGCAGGCCCGCCTTTGACAAGAAGAAGGCGAGAGGGCGACTCTGAGTGTGCGACAGGGCAACGGGTTTGGCAGAAGCGCATCAGCCACGAGTTCAGGACGCGGGCAACCCCCGCCCGACCCACGGGCGGGCGCGCCTGGGCCCCGCATCGCGGACAACAACGCGACGGCGAACAGCCTGCAACGATTGACCTTGAGGAGCGCCCTCGCTATCGGACGGGCGAAGGCAGCGCAGCGTGCGTTATGGCATTTCCAAGTGGCATCGTCAGCACTCAAGCGCGCCATCCAGGCAAGTTGGGACTACTGGCAACAGGCGCGGGCAGCAAGAGAAATATGCAAGTTCGGATTTCCGCGCGCCCGCGCCATGCTGGCATTGGTCGCAGCTCAGATCGAGCGCCAGGCAGTAGGTGACAAACGAGGGGATGCTGGAGAAGCGCTAGACTGACAGGGGAATCCTG